ACTAATGCACGTAGACTGTAAGTGGCAGGCATGTGAGCACTTGCTCTAAAAGTCCTCCAACTTTCCTGCATTGTTTGGAAACTTTTTGTAAGACAATGTTAGAAAAGTAGATGCCTAGTAAATAAATTTAATATAGTTGTTCTAATATTAAGCAGGAAAAGCGATCTGTATGATTTCCATTATGTAAAGGCTCCTCTGCCACCACGATGGGATGTAAGACATTTTAGGGAAGACTCCCTTTGGAAAAAAGAAAAAGAAAAAACCCCACAAATCTCTGCTGAAATGTTGTCACTGGAGATTTGTACGTCTGCACCTTGAAGGCTTCTGGCCCTCCAGAATCTTCCTTTATGTTTAGGGTGGCTTCAAAGAACATACCCCTCCAGTCATTATCAACATGCATCTGAGAGGGAGAGAAATTGGCAACCAGCTGAGAGGAAAACAGAATTGGGAAGTAACAAGAGGACAAACCTGTTTTCAAAGCGTGGTCTCCTATTGGCTGCACCAGAATATTTGCCATATTATGCCATGTGAAGAGGGAAACTGAGGCAGAAAGGTGTAAAGAGACCTGCCTCAAGTCACAGAATGCTCCACAAATATCAAAGTCGGGAGTGGTATCTTCACCACCTCTGGAACGGGGTCCGCTTTACCCAATGCACCTGCACTGGGTGGGGGGGGGGCGGGGCACGCAGTCGGAAGCCGGGAGCAGGCATGCCCAGGGGAGGCGGGGAATACTGCAGGGGGAACTGCAGGAACTGAGGTGGGGAACTGCAGGCGAGGGCCTCCTCCCGGGCATTCCTTCCATCCCACTGCTTCCAGGTGGGCAAGGAACTCTCTGGAGCTCTGTCCTCGCCCTCCGGGGAAGGCGTTCCTGCCTCCAGGTGTGAGGGAAGGAGAGACCAAAGCGATGCTTATTCCGTCAGCGTCCCTGCCCCTAAGGCAAACCACGTGAGCCTGTCCCCTTCCTGATATGGAAACCCACAGCGGGTGGTGGGGTCGTGGGCGGACGGGGTGAGGACAACTCTTTTCTGATCAGGTCCCACCACTCGGCGAGATGAATGCTCCAACAGTAAGTCAGCCTGGAGACGGAGTCCTGAAAATGCTAGTTGAACAGCTTCTTAACTTGGACAGTCACCCAAGCGTAGAATTACTCAAAATATCTTTGCCCATTAAACTGCCCTTTTTTTTTTTTTCTTTACAAAATCTGGCTGTTCTTCCCAAAATGTTTTGACTGGGAATTTCTGAAATGTCTCGAATATCTTGATGTGAGTTCTTTGCAACAAGGGGAATCTGCCCTGTTCCACACCGCAATGTGCAGCGAAGGTCCAGAGTCAAGGAGCCAGAAGCCATAAAGCTGGAATTACAGTAATGCCATCCTGAGGCCAGAGATAGGAAGCAAGCGTGTCACTCACCCTCGCCCAGTGGAAGTGGCCTCCCAAGACGGGGCCCAATCCAGGAAAATAAACACTGAGGCAGAAGAGGTGAAACGAACGAAGGGCATCTTAGGACAAAGAGCACAGCAGGTCAAAGTTCAGAGTCATTCCATTGACAAAGGCTCTCTGAGCATCTACTGAATACGGGAGTACATCCAGAGAGCAGCAGAAAGGGGTGTGTCACCAGAGCCATGCTGGGCGGTGGGGACGATGGCCACCTGGGGGCTGGGGAGCTCAGGGAGACAGCAGAAGGCCAACTCGGACAAACCCCCTTCTCAGTCCAGTTCACAAGCCTCCCCTCCCAGGTTCTGGGACCTCACAGTGGCTGCATGATAGTTCCCGGGAAAGGGGGAACTCAGGACACTGACAGCACAAGAAGCTGGGTGGGGAGTCGGGGAGCAGCCAATGCAGGGCACCTGGGCACCCCTGAGAAACGTTCTGTCCTTGAACCACTCTGAGACACTCGGCAGCCACACCCTTAACTCAGCCGGCATGACTTTTGGTTCTTGAAGCCTACTGGGTTACCAGACATAGACTCTCTTATAAAATATGTCCCCAGATTTCTCTGTTTTTTTTTTTTTAATTTTTTTAATGTTTATTTATTTTTGAGAGAGAGACAGAGAGATAGAGTGTGAGCGGGAGAGGGTCACAGAGAGAGAGAGAGAGAGGGAGACACAGAATCTGAAGCGGGCTCCAGGCTCTGAGCTGTGAGCACAGAGCCCAACACGGGGCTCAAACTCATGACCGGTGAGATCGGACCTGAGCCGAAGTCGGACGCTTAACGGACTGAGCCACCCAGGCGCCCAAGATGACCCCAGATTTCTTGATTATGGGACTATGTCAGGTTGGCCCCTCTTCCCCACAGAGCAGGAGCGAGGCCAGCTTGCAAGAGGTGGTTCTCCACTCAGCCCTGCGCCTCTACTACCTAAGACGTGAGCTACGATTCTCCAGAGTCCGGGAAGGATGTATTTGGACTCCTTGGAACGGAGCAGATGCCCTGGCTTCTTGAACTTAATGAGGAGTGAGACACTTAGCTTTGATCTCTGCCCCAAGCCACGGACGATCAAAATACTCTGGATTTGTACTTACGTAGGTAGCTCCATTAGGTACCTCCGTTTTTAGGCAAAATTGCACCCAGCAGCTAAACCAGTGTTGGCACCTCCCAGGTGTAGCACCCCTTAGCTGCCCACACCCAGCCTCGTAAGTCTGTGCCTTGGCTCATCAGCCCCAAAGCAGGACATTAAAGACTTACTGAGCTACATCTTTAATAATATTTTAAAAAAATGTTTAAGAACCACCATAAAAATCCACTGGATGGCATTTTTTTTTTCCACTTTGGCAAAACTAGAGTCATCGTCTATGTTATTACAAACTCAACCACAAGAGAAGAAAGTCAGCCAGTCACAATTTAGAAAATCACATTCCAATAGCCCTAGAAGGGTATATTAGCTGAGCGGAGATGTGTCCAGTCACATCTGTCTTTTTCCACAGACGCTGCTCCCCCAGGCCACTATTGAGCAACCTGTCCCCTTTCCAAGCAGCCTCTGTATGCCGAATACTGACCTGAAGTGATTCTCTGTTTTCTCAAACCTACAGACCAAGAGGCCTTGGACCTGATATAATTTGAGAAGCCCCAGAGACAGATCCCTTGACCTTCCACCCCTCTGCCAATTTAGAGATTCATTGGAGGGAATGTTACTTCTAAAAGGTCCCTTATAAATGCAAGCTGCTCCTCGGAGGGATAACGCATTAAGCCATATAGCCGTTCACACTTTAGTATGAAGTAGTCCGCTAATAGCTACCCTTTATGAAGCGTCTCCTCTGGGCCTTGCATGGAAGCAAGAACTTTCAACAGTCACTTACTCAAACTTTGAAGGAATTAAACATTATAAAGCTTTGATGGGGGGAAAGTCTGGACATGTCTGATTAACAAGGGGTTAGGATGGAAAGGGACACGAGAGACGGAAGGCCGAGGGGGTAGTATCGACTGTTAGGAGGAACTCAAGATCGTCTTCACAGAGGTGACATTTCAGTGGAATTTTGAAGGATGTGGAGTAGTTCAACAGGTAGCCAAGGCAAAGGAGGGGAAAACAACAAGGGAAAGAGCCATGTACAATGGCATCCTGTATCAGTCTGAGTGCCAACAGGACTACTCCAATGAAGAGAATTCAAGAGGGGTTTAGTAAACAGATTACTGACAAAGGTGTGGGCAAGATATAGGCAAACCACAAGAGACAGTGCAAGAGTCCAGGGGCTATCCCACCCCTGAACTCAAAAGGATAAAGGAAGGCAGCAGTTACGTGAACGCTGAGAGAGAACATTGTATACAGCAGGCCACCTTGAGAGGATCTGCAACTTCTAACGCCCACAGCCAGCCTGAGATGACCCCACAGAATGGAGGCCGAGGAAATAAATACCTGCACCGCTCTCTCCCTCCCTCCTCAGATCTCCTGCGGGGCTCCCCATCTGCCAGGCCCAACGGGAAGCCAGAGGTCAGGGCAGGAGAGCCTAGGTGATGCACCCCAAGTAGTCAGATTCCTAAGGCTGAGAGCTGGGCAGAGCAGAGTCAGGGTGGATCTGGGGTGGGGGCAGCTGGAAAGCACCCAGCAGTGTGTGAGATGTGGCTAGAGCACGGAGTATGGGTCAGGGTGAGGGGGGTAGCAGAGGGTGTGGGGTGTGGGTGAACACAAAGGAGCCTACCTGTCGACCTAAGGAGGAGTGGAAACCATTGACCTGCAGTGGTCACAGAGGCACTGGCCGCTGCCGGCCTTTGCCCAGGGCCCTGGGAAATCATTGCTGGGCGTCCAGCAAATGATGCGTGGCAGCCAATAACTCCTGAGCTAAGCCAACACCTTCCCGAGCCTCCCGAGCTGTGCTCTGGAAGCCGACCCCAGCCAGCGGCGTTGTCTCCCGGAGCTCCTGCCACTGCAGAAGAGAGCCTGGGAAAGCAGAGGGGTGGCTACTGAAGGGAGCGCAACCTAGAACATCTTGAACCAATTCAAACCAGCCTATCTCTTTGATTGATATTCCAGTCCACCTTTTCCCCCTTCCACACGTGGAAAGGCAGCCCTGTGACAAGAAGCTCTGCGGGAACAGGTTTCCCAGAAAAACGAAAACTGTCCGTCTGCCTACCCCAAGGGACCACTCCAGGCGGCCAAGCTGGGAAGCCAAGGCAGTCCTGCCCTGTAAGGCCTCAGCAAAAAAGATGAGCGCCAGCCCCCTCTCATCTGGGAAACATTAAAAGCAATCTCTGAAGTGATTCATTAAAAGTCCTCCAGTGGCAGAAGACCATCACCCAGATGTGAAAATACACACAGAGGGAAATTCCAGCATTCAGAACTGTTTCAAGTCTTGAAACAAATGCATGGTTATTTCAGGGAAAGGAAGAGTCTATTGACTGTCTTTCCAAGCCCACAGAATCCAAGTCAGACTCTCTCCATAGCCAGCAGGCCAGGCAAATTCCCACGATGCCAGATTCAGAAAACTGAAAGCACTCACTTGACTCTCTGGGGCCCTTCCCACTTGAACTTCTCAGCGGCTCCCTGGCCAAGGCCAGTCACCCACACTTACCAAGCTTCTGGTGGTGCAGCCTTCAGCTCAGCCTTCGTAAGCATCGGAAATTAAAGTGGAAGCAATTGTTCCATGCTGCTCTGGAAAAAAAACAAAAACAAAAACAGCATAGAAACTAAATGGAGCATGAATCAGTATCAAGCAAAACAGTGTATGCCCTGATTAAAAACGGGAGAAAATGGGAGCATATTTGGGCACTGATCACATATTATCACATCCAGTGTCTGGCAGAGTAGATGGCACAGGGTAGGCATTTGATAAACATGGAAGGAAGGAAGGAAGGAAGGAAGGAAGGAAGGAAGGAAGGAAGGAAGGCAGCCAGGAAGGAAGGAAGGAAGGAAGGAAGGCAGGCAGGAAGGCAGGAAGGCAGGAAGGAAGGAAGGAAGAGGGGTTGGTTCTCCACCCATGAGAAACTTGTCCATGAATCCAGAAGTTACTGAAGTATGTGCCTTACTTGGAGAAACCCTACAGAATCACACCTTACCCCTACTTCCCACCCATTTAACTGGTAAGGATCAGAAAAAGGGAAGTTCCTTGAAGCGAAATTTAGATCCTTCCCACCGGAAAAATACGAAACTACTCCTACACACCTGGGAGTTCTTTTTGTGTTATTACTGTAAAACACACACAATGCGAAATTTACCATCGTAACCATTTTTAAGTGAACGCTTCGGTGACCTCAAGCACACCATTGTGCAACCATCACCACCATCCATCTCCGAACTCTTCATCTCGAAAAACTGAAACTATACCCACTAACCAGCAGCTCCCCACTTCCTCCTGTCAGGCCCTGCCAACCATCATTCTACTTTGTCTCCATGAACTTGACTGCGCTATGTACTTCACCTGAGTAGAATCATACGGTATTTGTCCTTTCGTGTCTGGCTGATTTCACTTAGTGTACTATCCTCCAGATCCACCCATGTCGTAGCATGTACCACAATGTCCTTTCTTGTTAAGGATGAGTAACGTTCCACTCTTATGCGTGTACCACATTTTGCTGATCGTTCGTCCATCACTGGACCCTTGTGTCGCTCCCACCTTTGACTATTGTGAATAATGCTGCATGATCATGGGTTGACAGATAGCTCTTGGAGTCCTTGCTTTCAATTCTTTTGGGTATATACCGCTAGGATTTCTTTTGGGCGGTGACTTTTCCCTGAAAGGTGGAGGTGGGTGGAGGAAAACCCAGCATTCGCTGAGATGGAGCAAATCAGTTAGCTGTCAAATGACTGGGAAACACAGCAATTATAAACGTAGGTATATTTTGGGGCGCCTGGGTGGCGCAGTCGGTTAAGCGTCCGACTTCAGCCAGGTCACGATCTCGCGGTCCATAAGTTCGAGCCCCGCGTCGGGCTCTGGGCTGACAGCTCGGAGCCTGGAGCCTGTTTCCGATTCTGTGTCTCCCTCTCTCTCTGCCCCTCGCCCGTTCATGCTCTGTCTCTCTCTGTCCCAAAAATAAATAAACGTTGAAAAAAAAAAAAAAAAGTAGGTATATTTAGACTTCTTATGGTACGCTGTGCACACAGATAGTTATGAGCCTTGGGGAACCCCAACCTCATCCCATTCCCAGTTAAAGGGGCAGGGTTTGGAAGCCTGAGACCTGGGTTCAAATCTCAGGAGGAGCCCTTTTTAGTGAAGACTACTGAGAGAGTATATGATACGCTCGCATATTGTAAGCACTCAGTAGCCTCTGTCTTCTCCACCCTAAGACCCTTTTTCCTCCATCTGAATTCTGGATGTAGATGACCAGATACCAGCTTTGTCATAACCTGTGAATGTAATGAAATTCAGCCAAACTGCTCTGACGAGATCCTAGAATTTTCCCAGGAAGAGGGTGGTGTCAACAACCCTAACTTGAGAATGCGTAGCACTCAAAGCTGGCACATTCACCCGCCAAATGTCCCCATTCACCTCAGATGAAAAAGGATTTCCAAAGAGTAAGTCTTTGGCTCGGGGCCATGTAGCAAAACCGTTAATAATGTGGCTGAGGGACAGACCCAACAGTGGAACATAGGGTTGAGGGAGAACGTTCTGGAATTAGCAGTCCTGGATGTGACCTCAAGAAAGTCACTTCACCTTCTCCAAGCTTCAGCTTTCTCGTCTGTAAAATGGAAGCAATAATACTTTTGCCTCCTAGAATGGCTGTGAGGAGTAAGAGAGGGACAGTGTGGTAACGTGCTTGGCATAGAGCCCACATCCAATCAGCCGTGGAACCAGAAAAGACAAGCCAGGTCCCCTCTCCCTTCAATCCTCGGGCATTTCTGCAGGAATGGGGGCTTTAATGGGAAGCTGGCATCCTGCTCTGACCCTTCTCCAAACTGGACCCTCAGCACTCTCCACGTTTTCTTTTGTCACCTTCATGGCCTTGATCATAAAGCTCAGGAGAAATAAAAAGAAGCTCACCCACCCATTTACCCACCTATCCATCGATCCATGCACCCAGCCAACGTTTATTGAGGGCCTACCCTATGCCAAGCCTGACAAAGCCACTGGGAACCAAGAGATGAATGGAACGGGCCTCTCCTCCGCAGGAAGGCACAGGGCAGCGGGGGAGGAAGAGAAGTTAACGGTAAGAATGGCACCTGGGTGGCTCAGTCAGGTAAGCATCCAACTCTTGATTTGGACCCAGGTCATGACCTCGCGGTTCATGGGTTCAAACCCCACAATGGGCTTTGTGCTGACAGTGCAGAGCCTGCTTGGGATTCTGTCTCTCTCCTCTTTCTGCCCCTCCCCTGCTCATGCTGCCTGTGCTCTCTCGCTCTCGCTCTCGCTCGCTCTCTCTCTCTCTCAAAATAAATAAATTAAAAAAAAAAAAAAGAAGAATGGCAGACGCTTACTTAGGGCCATGTGCTAGGCATGGCTTCAGGTCTCTTGGCATAATCTGTTTCATTCTCCTCACACCCCATGAAATGGCGCTGCAATGATTCTGTTTCACAAATATGGAAACGGCATATGGACAGTAACTTACCCAAGGTCACAAAGCTATTAAATTTAACCTCTAAACTGTCAGAACCTAATCCTAACAGGAGTCCGGGGACAGAGGTCAGGGGGTGGGGCTCAAGGGCAGGAGGGACGGTGTCCTACAGTTCCCCAGAGTCAGCAGGCCACAAACTGCTGTGGAACTTCCACAACCTGAAGGTTGACAAGTGGGGGCTATATAGGTTACACTCTTCAGCACGGTCCCTTACAGTCACCGAGTGCTGTCCTCACACGTCAGCTCACTTTACCTTCAAGGGAGCTCTGTGAAGGGGATCTAAGCTGTCCCCACTTCACAGAGGAGGAACCTGACACTCGGCGCGAGGACGTGTTGGAGCCAACTCAAAGCCAAGGACGCCCAGCACATGCACCTGTCAAAGGCCCCTGTTCAGCTCAGATGAAAGAATTATTTCCAAAGAGAACATCTTTGGCCGGGTCCTACGTGCTTGCCAAAGGCAAGGGAGCTGGAAATGCATTCGGTCTCTTTGTCTCCCACCAATGACCAGCCCACATGGCAGCGTGTCTTCCTTTATCCTCTGCCCTGGTGTCCCCTCCTGAACACAGCCACAATGATCACTTCATCTAAGACAACACCCCGTAGCTCCCCGCCGGCCTTCCCTACTCCATTTCTCTTCAGGACACTTAGGGTTATCGGGTATCAAAGTAGACTTATTTGTTTAGTATCTGACTCTCCCAACTAGACCAGAAGCTCCATGAGGGCAGGAAACACGTCCCTTTTGTCTTTCACTGTACCCTGACACCTGGAACAGGACCTGGAGCATTAGAAGCGGTCAGTGTGGTTTAGGTCAATGAATGAATGAACAAATGAATGGAAGTGGGTGGGTTAGGGAATTACCCTGTGGAAGAAGCCAGAAACAAGGACCAGGAACTCACCCGGGACACAGTCCCCTGCCCCACCCTGGGTATCAGGTACCCCCAGTCTTGGCCTTGGGCTAATAGGAACATCTGACCTCTTGCCTTCGCCTTCCCAGGGCCTGTCCCTCTCAAGGATGCTCTCCTAGGTGTCATGCCCATAAAGAGCCCCTCAGTTCAGGGACCTGCTTGAATAGTACCCTTACAGCCTCACTCCAGGTCTTTCTTATTCACTCATTGCCTCACACTTATACCCTTTCACCCCAGAATAGTACCAAGCCCAGTCTATTTCCTCAGGTACCTTATAATCCTGCAAACTCATTCATGCTAAGGTACTGATGAATAAGAACAGGTGTTCGACGTAGTTTTTAAAGGGAGCCTTCTAGAGACAATATAGTAAAATACTAGAACGGCTCACTGTAGGAGTTTCAGGTCTCCTAGAAACTCTACATGCCGCGTCATACACAGAATATGACCCGTGGATGCCATCCATTCATTCATTCATTCACTCGCATCTCCATCCGGCACTTGAGCAAACATTTACTGAGTGCCTTCTGCCTGCCAGAAAGATCCTGTGTGCTGAGGATATGAGAGTGAGCAAGACAGCCAAAGTCCCTGCTCTCAGAAAACCCAGTGTCTGGTTGAGGAGACAGAGCAGTCAGCAAAGACCCTGCCAAGGAGCTTCAACTCTCAGTGCTAGTACCACAACAGAGGGGGTAAACCCGTGAGGGGACCGGAGGCAGCTACCCAAGGGATGGGAGGTCAGGAAGGCCTGCTGGAGAAACTGTAGTCTCCACTGGCTGCTGGCGGTTGACCAGGACTTCACCCGGGAACTGGGGGGCTGCAGGCATTCAGTGCTTGCGAGGGTGCAGAGGTCTGAGCCAGTCTAGGCAAGGCTCGCCCTGGGCCCACCTGCTTCATGCAACCCTTAAAAGTGGCTGAAGTTAAGCTCAGCCATGGAGTGTGCACCAGGAAGTCGGAAAGAGCAACAGGGCAGGGTGTCCTTGGAACTGTGCAGATGCCAGCCGTTCTTCCCTCCCTCTGGAATGTCAGAAATCACGTCTGTGTCCTGGGGTTCTCCGTTGCCTATGAAACTGTTCAAGTTCACCATCCTAACAACACAAGCGGTGAATCAGCTGCCTCTGCACACAGTCTGCAGTGCCTCCTAGACCCTGGCATGTCCGGGGAGCTGTTTCAATATTCTGCTGTCTCTTCCTTTGCCTGCCAAAGGAAAGAAAGCCTTCAGCATTAACTACAACAATTACAGGTGACCTGAGAGGTTTCTTTGACCTGCCACCTAAGGTAAGTGCCTTTCTGCAGATATCCAGGGCCTCACTTTTAATTCATCTTGAACCCAACTTTGCCCCTCACCTCCACCCACCCACCAGCACTACCTTGAACATGCTCAGTTGCCCAGTGGAAAGAATCATAGCACTTTCCTTTTCTGGCTTTCTCTGATACAACAAGCTTCCAGCAACCGTCAGAAAAGAAGGCAAGTAACATCCGTGGTGGAGACAAGCCTATGAAATTCGTTCAAAAATACAGCAAGGCACTGTACTCACTACAGAGAGACACATGCTGTTCCATGGACAAGGGCCCATTTGTGAGTCACCAAGCATAATGGGACATTGTTGAAAGTGTTGGGAACATGAGAATTTCCTCACTGCCCAACTTGGGTAATGCTGGAGCTACATTTGCCTCCAGAAATGAAGTCAGACAGACTCAACCCAACTTCCAACTGCCAGGCCCCAAGACCATGGGGCCACCATGTTTTTATGCTGACTGTTGTTAATGGGAGTCACTTCCCAAGTTGTGTTGAAGGGTCGACTTCTCATCCGCTTGTGCAACAGACGTGGGTGCTTTGACAAAGGACATGCCCAGAACTCTGACCGGAGGACCTTAGACCACATGAAAGACTTTTAAAGGCCCTCACATCAGGGTTCTGCACCGTCAAATAGATTGGTGGGGAGAGGGAAAAGTTGCCCATGATTTGGTGTGAGGAAGGGATATGGCAGGCGTGTGTAGCAACAATCTGGCTAGAACAATACATAAGAGCTCTCACTTCTTGAGTATCTATGATAGGCCAGGCAATGTTCAGTGCTTTATGTGCATGACTTCATTTCCTTCCTACATCCATTACATACAGGAAGGTCATGTCAACATCATCTTACAGAAGGAAGCTCGAGGCTGAGAGGTGACAACATGCCTGTGTCACAGAGCTAATGATCTGCACAACCAATTTAAACTCAGGTCTGGGGGACCCTTGCGGTGGTGCTCTCTTAGCTGGCACACTGTGCCACATGAAGGACGGTGGGGCAGGAAACTGGGTGGCTGGGAGTTATTTAGTGCAGGGGGGTTGGTACCTCCTCAGCCCTGGATAAGGGTAGCATGAGAATCCGGATGCACAACCCCAGCCCCTGAGCTCCCCTCTCCCGCGATCCTTTACGCCTGTCTCTACCACAGCTCTCGTCACGTAACTCGGCACTGAGATGGCTTGTTGGAACACCGTCCCCCCACCAAATCTTGAGCCTACCAGAACAGGCACTCCATTCTATTCTTTGCACCTGCCACACCTGGAGCTCTGCTTACACTCCAAACATTTTCATGGGACCACATGAATCAGATGGGTAGAGATGGCGCCAAGATGCATAAATAATTCAGACGATCTGGTTCAAGTCCAAGCTCAGCCACCGGCTAACTGTGTGGCCTTGAGCGGGTAACTTCTTTCCACCGGGCCTCAGTTCCCTCACCTGCACCATCAGGAGATTCACTTACAATGGTATCTACCAAATGTGAGACAGATTCCACAGGTGGAATGCAAATGAACCCTCCTTTTAGTTCACTTAAATTAGCATTCAATTTAAATTTCAATTAAATTGATACAGATTTATTTTTCTGTTTATAACAATGTAACTAGCTCACCAAGCCCTTGAAGTGTACCTTTAAAATAACATTAAGGTTTTTTTTTTTTAAAGTTAATTTTAAGGGGCGCCTGGGTGGCTCAGTCAGTTAAGCGTCCGGCTTCGGCTCAGGTCAGGATCTCACGGTTCATGAGTTTGGGCCTCGCATTGGGCTCTGTGCTGTCAGGGCAGAGCCCGCTTCAGATCCTCTGTCTCCTTCTCTCTCTTCCCCTCCCCTGTTCGTTCTCTCTCTCTCTCTCCTTCTTTCAAAATAAATAAATACAGTTTAAAAAAACACAAAATAAAACTTAAAAAAAGGAGTTAAAGAATCTGTGGGGGGTGATGGTGAAATAGGCGAAGGGGATTAAGAGTAACACCATGATGAGCACTGAGTAATGTATACAACTGTTGAGTCACCATATGGAACGCCTGAAAAACTAACATAAACCCTGTATGTTAATTACACTGGAATTAAAGCAAAGAAAAAAAAAAGTTTAAAAAAAAAAAGGAATTCACTCTTTACAAAACTGCAAAAAAAAAAATCTCTTTGATAATGTCCATTGGTCCTTAAATATCACAAATAACCGTGGAAGTGACACATGGACGAGTGAGCTTTGGAGATCCAGTCCGCGGATCTTTAACGTCGATGCCTCCGACGGGGAGGACCAGGGAAGGGGCTATGGAGCATGAAGGCTCATCGAAAGAAGAGAAGGAAGGATAAAAACGAGATGTTCAAAATGACCTCTGGCCTCCACGGTCAGGACTCAGCACCTACGGATGCCTACTACATCCCTGGCACCGGGCCGTGTGCCATGGGACACATTCATCCGGTGTGAACACAGCCAGAAAAATGAGGGATGGGGCAGGGGAGCGGGAGCAGGACAACCAGAAGTTGACTTTGTCCTTTTAAACTGTTCGATGTTGGGGCGCCTGGGTGGCGCAGTCGGTTAAGCGTCCGACTTCAACCAGGTCACGATCTCGCGGTCCGTGAGTTCGAGCCCCGCGTCGGGCTCTGGGCTGATGGCTCAGAGCCTGGAGCCTGTTTCCGATTCTGTGTCTCCCTCTCTCTCTGCCCCTCGCCCGTTCATGCTCTGTCTCTCTCTGTCCCAAAAATAAATAAACGTTGAAAAAAAATTAAAAAAAAAATTAAAATTAAAAAAAAAATAAACAAAAAAATAAACTGTTCGATGCTGTCTGCAGAAGCTAATGCAGGCGGAACTTTCTTGGTTTACTTTGAAGAAAACACAGACCGGGGACGATGCTTCCTAGAAGATGAGGGTGTTGGGGGGGGGTGGTTTGTTGATGCCTCTGTTGAGGGAGACAAGTAGGGGCTTGGGCAAATGACTTCTAATTTCCTATCTAAATATTTTTTTTTTTTTTACACTTATTCATTTTTGAGAGACAGAAAGTGGGGAGGGACAGAGAGAGAAGGAGACAGAATCCAAAGCAGGCTCCAGGCTCCGAGCTGCCAGCACAGAGCCCGACGCGGGGCTCGAACTCACAAACTGTGAGATCATGACCTGAGCCAAAGTCGGACGCTCAACCAACTGAGCCACCCAGGCGCCCCCCTATCTAATTCTGACTTGGCTTGGTGCTGTCACTAACTGAGTACTGGACTCATCTGAATATGTATTCCTCAGATTTAAAAGCTCATTAGTTAAAGCAACCAGGCCAGTAATGATTTCACCTGGAAAATTCCACCTTAACCTGGGAGCTGCTCGGCAGCTGCCTCCCGTTCAGGGTGGCCGGCTCTTCCTCAGGACCCTCGGAGGTGGGGCGGCGGTCACCGAGAAGGGCCGAGGGCAGGGATGCAACAATTTGACTCCGTCGGCTTCCGGTTCCTAGAAATGGGCAGAGCCAAGGGCGGTGGGGTGGATGAGGGCAAATCCCACCCCCACTCCAAGCAAAACAGCTCTCCTGAACCCAGGTCTACACAGGGACGGAAGCCAGAAACGTCCCTGCTGTGTACGAAGGAACCAGACATATGTTTCCGATGTTTGCCAGGAAAACGACTCAAGTGAACACAGCTTCCCATGAAAAGCAAACCAAAAGCAAATAAGACGCGAGAATGGATCCCAACATTTCCTTTATGCCCACTGTATAACCTTCCTCTAGCCGAACATCCACCACTAAGATCTGCCCACCTTCTTTCAGATGTGGAGGCTAAAATATGTTTTCCCCACTACTTGGGGACCCTGCATGAAGACATATAAAACGAAGCAGCAGTGGGTGGAGACCGCCCAGCTGGACAAGAGTAAGGAATACCATTTGCTAAGCAAGTCCTGTGTAGTGCCAGGCACTGAGTTAGGCACTGTCTGTTTACGATCTCACAAGTCCTGCTTGACGCTTCCTTAGGCAGGTGTTACAGTTTCCATTTTATAAATGAAGAAACCGAGGCCGGGGCCAGGGTAAGACATGGGACTTGCCAGAAACTCCATGAGGAGGAAGGGGCAGAGCTAGAATTCAAGCCCAGGTCCGTCTGAGTCCCACAGCCACACTTCTCCCTGACCTCATCACGTCCTCCTTCCCAGATGGCACCTGACAACTACCCCAACCCGGTTTCTGGAGGGTCCTCTCAGTCTATATCCCTGGCCGCCGAGCCGCTCCCCTCTCTTGGCCCCTCTCCTCAGTATGGTATGTGCTCCTTCCTTCCTCCTCCTCCTCCAGGTGAATTTGTCTCCGTTATTCTAGAACCAGGCTATACTCTGCTTTCTCCAAGAAAGCGTTCATCCACAGGACTGTCCCCTTCTAACCTCTCATGACCTGAAAGGTAATGATGTTCAATCTGTTCCTCGAATGCCAGAAGACGTAATGGGTTTCAGTGCTGTCCCTACCCAAGTTCAAGAGCACAGCCACCATCCCTCTGAGAGTCAAGACCCCCTGCTCTCTATTTCCAAGGGCTACAGGTGTGATGATCCTTGAAGGAGTGGGGGTGTCCACATAGGGCTGTTTGGATGAGACCTGACAAAATCTCCAGGCTCAGTAACTGTTGTTCTGATGGATGATCCACAGGTATACAGGTGTCCAGAAGGCCATAAGCTGGAATGACTAGACAAATTGCTGCTGGGACTCCCTTGTGGGCATCTCCCGGGTCAGCTCCCAGGCTGCCCCTGACAGTTTCTCACTGCTGACCTTTCCTCCCTGCCTGGACCTCAGTCAGGCCCCCTCATTTGTGCTCAGCCCCACACCCACCTTTTCCCAGTCCTCCCTCCAGTCTGCCCCCCCCCCCGGTCTGGGTTGGGGAGAGGCCCATGAGGCAGTTTCCTGACCCTCATTCTAATCCTCAGGTTGCAGAAGAAATTGTGCCTCCTCCCGTAGGCCCCCACCTTTGACTCACAGAGGCCTGTTTTGCTTGTCTCACCACTGGACACGATTCAAGCCAGAGAGCAAGTAGTTAAATCCT